AGGTGGGTTTCCTAATCTCGCTGCTCTTAGACAAGGCCTTGGCCTGGGCAAATCCCTTATGGGAGAGGAATGACCCGGTGATTCATGAGTTTTCCGGTTTTGTCAACACCTTCCGTAGGGTATTCAACGTACCGGCTCGCTCTGCCTCAGCTGCCAAGCTGCTCATGTCAATGCATCAGGGTTCATGGACCATTGCCGAGTACACCATAGAGTTTCGTACCCTGGCGGCAGAGGTGGGTTGGAACAATGAGGCTCTGGTGGCTGCTTTTTCTCATGGTCTTTCTGATGCATTTGTGTAATGTCAGGGCAGGAGCTATGGAACGGACAGGCAGGCCTAAAGGCAGGGTCACGCACTGACTGACGACAACCACCACCCACAGACCGGAGTCCCTCAGGGCGCGGACTCTAAGTCCCAGGCTGCCTTTCACCAGGGCCCCTGATGGTGGGGATGGACTTGACGCAGCCAGGAACCAGGTCGCGGCCCCCAAGACACCCCAGCTGCGGTAATGGCCGCTGCCAATGGCGTGTAGCTGGTAAGAATCAGATTAGACAATAGCGTAGTCGGGCAGGCCGGGTCGACAACAACGGGACAAACGGTACAGAACAGTAGACAAGAATCACAGGTCACAGGCCGGGTTCAGCAACGGGAGGTCAGATCAAAGGAAAATGCAGAGAATGGTCTAGTCACAAGCCGAGTCACATTCCAGGAGAGTCACGAGAGTATACACAGAGCTGTTGCAACACTAACACACAAGACACGAATGCAAAGGGCATGTGCGAACAACAGATTTATATGTAATCAACCACACCCCTCTGGGGGATGGACCTCAGAGGCCTGAAGGCATAAAAGACTCCCACCATGCTCTTTGCAGAAACCCAAGATGGATGCCAGCACATGGAGCAGCACAACCTCTGGCAAAAGATAGGACCTTGACAGTTATATTGGTATTTATGTATATTTAATACCTCAATGCTGCACAACTGTTTTATATATTTTATTTTGAAGGTTTGTGGTTTCCTTTTAGTGTACAGCTGCTTTTCACTATTATAAGCGCTTGCTGATTTCTATACATTCAGTAGTTTAAGGTTAAATTTAAAAAAAATAGTGTAGTGCTCCCGTGATTAACCACTTGAGCTCCAGAGGATTTACCCCCCTTAATGACCAGGCCTCTTTTTGCTACTCGGCGCTGCACTAATTTAACTGATAATTGCGCGGTCATGCAATGCTGCACCCAAACGAAATTTACGTCCTTTTTTTCACACAAATAGAGTTTTCTTTCGGTGTAATTTGATCACCTGTGCGCTTTTTTTTTTTTTTTCACGCTATAAACAAAAAAAGGCCAAAAATTTTGAAGAAGAACAATATTTTTTACTTTCAGCTATAAAAAAATATATAAGAAAAATTAATAATAGCGCCTATGGCCAAAATTATATAACTTACTTATAGTGTACCAGCTGCAAAAAACCACCATATATAAAGTGTACCAATTAATAAATAATTTGCGCTAGTAAATGTATAAATAAATATATAAAAAATATATATATATAAAAAATCATCAAATCATAAGTCCAGAAAAATATATATGCCAATACCACAAAAAAGTGCAAAAAAACTTTTTGTGCAAAAAAAAATGTCTAAACTTGAAGAATTTCACCAAAAACCTTGATAATGTGATGGCAGATCATCCATAAATATATTTTTCAGAAGCGAAAACTCAGCAACACACCGATCCTCATCGATCAAATAACAGGATCACAAACTTTGTAATTTAATCGGAAATCCACTTCTCCAAAAGAAAAGACCACCTTCAATCGTATCCATGGGGGGAAATGCCAAGCACTCGGGAGAAACAGAAAGACTTCATGGTGCAATATTATAAAAAACCAATTCCTTTATTAGGTACTCATTGCACTTACTCAAGAGGTGTCCCAGCCGACACCAGCATCAACAGCATAACAGCAATCACATAAAAGAGCCTGGCTACTCAGCACATGCGCAATAGCTGGCAGCCAAAAACGTAATGACGTCACATCAATCAAGCTCCACCCTACGCGTTTCGTCATCGACGTCCTCACGGAGCGGATGGATGTGAGACATCTCAACCTCATTAAATATTCACTTCACAGGAAACGAACAGCTGGCATCAATGGGGAATCACGCAAAACAAGCCGCCCCATGGATGACAGGAGTCCAGAGAGGGTATACAATGTACATAATATATTTGTCATCACAAGCAAAAAACTTTACAGAAATAAAAAGGAAATTTAAGAGAAACAATAAAAATAAAATAAATTAAATAAATAAATACATAAACGAACCAGTACCCTCTAAGACTGTCTCTCAGAAAGGGAACTTAAAGGGCCAGTATCACATTAAACACAAATAAAGGGGAACTCTAGTAATAATACAAAAATAATACAGAAATTGTACAAAAACCATACAATCTCCCATATATCGTCTTTAAACAGTTGTCTATGTAGAAATATATTTAAAATAATTAAAAATTAAAAATTTGTGAGAAAACAATTCAAATCTATATCGACATTTAACCCAAATGGTTGCAACGAATTTACTTCATAAATCCAAAACGTCTCTTTCTTGGAAATCTCATTAACCAGATCCGAGCCCCTCCAATGGGGTTTTACCATCTCAATCCCATAAAAGGTAAGTAAGCTCGGATCGCAATTATGTACCAATTTAAAATGTTTGGATACACTATGTTTATCAAATCCTTTTACTATGTTTCTTATATGCTCGCCTATTCTTGTTTTTAAACATCTCCCAGTTCTCCCAATATATCTCACATGGCACGGGCATTCTAGAACATAAATCACATGTGTGGAATTGCATGTAATAAAGGATTTAATATCATATTCTTTTTTGGAAGATAAGGAACAAAATGACTTTCTTTTTTTGTTATTCCCAACCTTTACAGTCCTACAAACTTTACACTTCCTGCAAGGAAAGAAACCATTTAAATTTGGAAACAGATCGAACTTTTTTGGGGGTTCGATGACATTTCGGGCCAATCTCATCCTAAGAGACTTATTTTTCTTATAAAATAAATTTAGGGGTTTTAGATAAGAATCTATTCAATATATCATCCTTTAACAAAACCATAGAGTTTCGTACCCTGGCAGCAGAGGTGGGTTGGAACAATGACGCTCTGGTGGCTGCTTTTTCTCATGGTCTTTCTGATGCATTCGTGTAATGTCAGGGCAGGAACTATGGAACGGACAGGCAGGCCTAAAGGCAGGGTCACGCACTGACTGACGACAACCACCACCCACAGACCGGAGTCCCTCAGGGCGCGGACTCTAAGTCCCAGGCTGCCTTTCACCAGGGCCCCTGATGGTGGGGATGGACTTGACGCAGCCAGGAACCAGGTCACGGCTAGAGATGAGCGAATCGAACCAGGCGAAGTGGAATTCGTTTCGAATTTCAGGAAAAATTCGATTCGTGCCGAATATTAGCCAACTTCGGGTGCACGAATCGGATTTTTCCCGATCAGCCGGCAAAAGTGTCCCTGCAGAGAGCTCTGCTATTTCTGACAGTTCTCTGACAGTTCCTTCACATGTACAGCGGTTGAAACATTGTATCTATTTGTTTCCATTTAGGATACAGATGTTTTATTCGGAAACAGATACAATGTTTCAACCGCTGTAAATGTGAAGGAACTGTCAGAGAACTGTCAGAAATAGCGGAGCTCTCTGCAGATACACTTTTTGCTGTACTGGAATACTTCTTCTTTTCATTCTTCTTTTCATTCTTCTTTTCATTCTTCTTCTTCTTCTTTTCATTCTTTTCATTCTTTTCATTCTTCTTCTTTTCATTCTTCTTTTCATTCTTCTTCTTTTCATTCTTCTCATTCTTCTTCTCTCATTCTTTTCATTCTTCTTTTTATTCTTCTTGTTCTTTTCATTCTTCTTTTCATTCTTCTTTTCATTCTTCTCATTCTTCTTTTCATTCTTCTTCTTTTCATTCTTCTTCTTCTTTTCCTTCTTTTCATTCTTCTCATTCTTCTCATTCTTCTTCTCATTCTTCTTTTCATTCTTTTCATTCTTCTTCTTCTTTTCATTCTTCTTTTCATTCTTCTCCTTTTCATTCTTCTTTTCATTCTTCTCCTTTTCATTCTTCTTCTTCTTCTTTTTTCATTCTTCTTCTTTTCATTCTTCTTCTTCTTTTCATTCTTCTTTTTTTCATTCTTCTTCTTTTCATTCTTCTCCTGCTTCTTTTCATTCTTCTTCTTCTTCTTTTTCATTCTTCTTCTTCTTCTTTTCATTCTTCTTCTTCTTTTCATTCTTCTTCTTCTTTTTTTCATTCTTCTCATTCTTCTTCGTTTCATTCTTCTTTTCATTCTTCTCATTCTTCTTTTCATTCTTCTTCTTCTTTTCATTCTTCTTCTTCTTTTTCATTCTTCTTCTTTTCTTCTTCTTCTTCTGGCAACTCCACCACGCAGCTCATTTTTGTTCCAGTATTACTGTATTTTGCTCCTTCAAAATCCTGAAACTTTCTTTTGGCAGGTGTACAGACTCAGGTACTCAGTGCAGGAATGGTGGGAATCCCTCACAATGGACACAGCAGGTGTACATACAGACCCAGGAATTCAACACAGGGACAGTGGGAACCCCTAATAATGGGTAAAGCAGGTGGGCAGACCCGGAATCTCAGCACATGGATGGTAGGAACCCCTCATAATGGGCACAGCAGGTGTGCATACCCAGAACCTCAGCACAGGGATGGTGGGAACCCCTAGTAATGGGCGCAGCAGGTGTGCAGACCTGGGACCTCAGCACAGGGATGGTAGAAACCCCTCATAATGGGAACAGCAGGTGTACAGACCCTGGAATTTAGCACAGGGATGGTGGGAACTCCTAATGGGCAGAGCAGGTGTACAGACCCAGGAGCTCAGCACAGGGATGGTGGGAACTTCTCATAATGGGCGCAGCAGGTGTGCAGACCTGGAACCTCAGCACAGGGATGGTGGGAACCCCTCATAATGGGCACAGCAGGTGTGCATACCCGGAACCTCAGCACAGGGATGGTGGGAACCCCTCATAATGGGCACAGCAGGTGTGCATACCCAGAACCTCAGCACAGGGATGGTGGGAACCCCTAGTAATGGGCGCAGCAGGTGTGCAGACCTGGGACCTAAGCACAGGGATGGTGGGAACCCCTCATAATGGGCACAGCAGGTGTACAGACCCAGGAATTTAGCACAGGGATGGTGGGAACTCCTCCTAATGGGCAGAGCAGGTGTACAGACCCAGGAACTCAGCACAGGGATGGTGGGAACTTCTCATAATGGGCGCAGCAGGTGTGCAGACCTGGAACCTCAGCACAGGGATGGTGGGAACCCCTCATAATGGGAACAGCAGGTGTACAGACCCAGGAATTTAGCACAGGGATGGTGGGAACTCCTCCTAATGGGCAGAGCAGGTGTACAGACCCAGGAACTCAGCACAGGGATGGTGGGAACTTCTCATAATGGGCGCAGCAGGTGTGCAGACCTGGAACCTCAGCACAGGGATGGTGGAACCCCTCATAATGGGCACAGCAGGTGTGCATACCCAGAACCTCAGCACAGGGATGGTGGGAACCCCTCATAATGGGCACAGCAGGTGTTAGGGTGTTTAACTCTCCAGCATCCATTAGAGACTGATATAGTAATATAGTTCATTCTTCTTTTCATTCTTCTTTTCATTCTTCTTCTTCTTTTCATTCTTTCTTCTTCTTTTCATTCTTCTTCTTCTTTTCATTCTTCTTCTTCTTCTTTTCTTCTTCTTCTTCTTCTTTTCATTCTTCTTCTTCTTCTTTTCTTCTTCTTCTTCTTCTTTCATTCTTCTTCTCATTCTTCTTTTCATTCTTCTTCTCATTTCTTCTTCTTCTTTTCATTCTTCTCATTCTTCTTCTTCTTCTTTTCATTCTTCTCATTGTTCTTTTCATTCTTCTTCTTCTTCTTTTCATTCTTCTTCTTCTTCTTCGTCGTGCCCCGTGACTGCCCAAATGAGTGAACTGTGCGGTGATTCTAAGATCGACGGCACTCATCTGCATGTCATACTGACTGACAGTATTATTTCTCTTCCCCAGCAGACTTCAAGGGCATTTAAATTAAAGGTACAGTGTTCTGCACTAATATAAAGGCTCTCTGAAGCCTAGAAACCCTTTTAATTTGTTAAATTCGCATCTAATCAAATTTCTCCCGCAAATTCGGCGAATCAGCCGAATCGAATTTTTGAATAATTCGCTCATCTCTAGTCACGGCCCCCGAGACACCCCAGCTGCGGTAATGGCCGCTGCCAATGGCGTGTAGTTGGTAAGAATCAGATTAGACAATAGCGTAGTCGGGCAGGCCGGGTCGACAACAACGGGACAAACGGTACAGAACAGTAGACAAGAATCACAGGTCACAGGCCGGGTTCAGCAACGGGAGGTCAGATCAAAGGAAAACGCAGAGAATGGTCTAGTCACAAGCCGAGTCACATTCCAGGAGAGTCACGAGAGTATACACAGAGCTGTTGCAACACTAACACACAAGACACGAATGCAAAGGGCATGTGCGAACAACAGATTTATATGTAATCAACCACACCCCTCTGGGGGATGGACCTCAGAGGCCTGAAGGCATAAAAGACTCCCACCATGCTCTTTGCAGAAACCCAAGATGGATGCCAGCACATGGAGCAGCACAACCTCTGGCAAAAGGTAGGACCTTGACAGTTATATTGGTATTTATGTATATTTAATACCTCAATGCTGCACAACTGTTTTTATATATTTATTTTGAAGGTTTGTGGTTTCCTTTTAGTGTACAGCTGCTTTTCACTATTATAAGCGCTTGCTGATTTCTATACATTCAGTAGTTTAAGGTTACATTTAAAAAAAATAGTGTAGTGCTCCCGTGATTAACCACTTGAGCTCCAGAGGATTTACCCCCCTTAATGACCAGGCCTCTTTTTGCTACTCGGCACTGCACTAATTTAACTGATAATTGCGCAGTCATGCAATGCTGCACCCAAACGAAATTTACGTCCTTTTTTTTTCACACAAATAGAGTTTTCTTTTTTCGGTGTAATTTGATCACCTGTGCGCTTTTTTTTTTTTCACGCTATAAACAAAAAAAGGCCAAAAATGTTGAAGAAGAACAATATTTTTTACTTTCAGCTATAAAAAATATATAGTAAACTCAAAGTTGGTTATAAATTTAGGCTAAAATGTATTCTGCTACATGTTTTTGGTAAAAAAAAAATCCCAATAAGTGTATATTGATTGCTTTGTGGGGAAGTTATAGTGTCTACAAACTATGGTATAAATACTGCAATTTACGCCATTTTTCTGCTATAGAGCGCTGTGTTAGTTTAACGGACAACTGCGCGGTCATGCAATATGGTACATAAATGAAATTTACATTCTTTTTTTCCCCACAAATTGAGCTTTCTTTTGGTGGTATTTGATCGCCTGTGCGGTTTTTATTTTTTGCGCTATAAAAAAAAAGGCTGACAATTTTGAGGAAAAAAAAACAATATTTTGGACTTTTTGCTATAAAACACGTCCAGTAAAAAAAAAATGCAAAAATCAAATTTAGTCATAAATTTCTGCCAAAATGCATTCTGCGACATGTCTTTGCTAAAAAAAAAAAACAATACGTGTAAATTAATTGGTTTACGTGAAAGTTATAGTGTTTACAAATAGTAGGAAAGATACTGGGATTTTTAGTTTTTTTTTTTATACTAATAATGGTGGCAATCAGTGAATTATGGCGGTGATCAGGGACTTATGGCAGCGACCAGCGACTTATGGCGGGACTGCGGCGGACATTCTGACATTGGAGGGTACTGACTTGGGGTCACTGACATCCCCAAAAATACTAATACAGTGATCAGTGCAAAAAAAAAAAAAAAACTGACACTGTACTAATGGCAATGGGGAGGAAGGGGTTAACTTTATTTTGCAGGGAAGGGTTATAGGAGTGAGGGGAAAGTTTTACTAGGGGGCGGGGGGTGTGTGCTGCACAGGACAAGGCTGATCGAGAAAGAGAAACTGTTCTTTCTCGATCAGCTCATCCTCGAGCTGACAGGGAAGTGACAGACAGCACAGCTACTGCAGCTGTGCTCTCTGTCACTGTTTGCTGCCGATCGCCGGGACATAGCCGCTAAGGAGCGGCTGTGACCCGGCGACTGACATCTGCGGCGGTGATCCGTGGGACAGATAGGGCGGCGGCGCGCCTCGCACGCGCCCCCTATTTGTTTACAAAACACACGTTTTAAAACGTGGTTTTGCCTGCGAGTGCCGCCCTGCCGCAGTATATGTACAGTGGCTGGGCAGCATGTAGTTAATAATATTTACACATTACCCATGTATACTAAAATATGATTAAAATTAAAATATATCTGTCACAGTATAGGGGCCCCTGCCAATTATTGATTCCATTTAATCCCCTTATTAATTCCCTGTATGCCCTCTGTGTCACTCTGCCAAATGGACATACAGTTATTGTGGCTTTGCCCCTCCCGGCAAGCTTGCTGCATGTCCTCCAATTGCCCCCCAAATAATCCTCTATCCAGTCCCTCTGATGTCCCTGGGGGGGGGTCCAGTGTCATCCTGGCCCCTCACTGTGTCCCCTGTCTCCAGTCCGATTCATCCCTGTGGTCCAGTGACCCCCCTCCACCTCTCATCCTGCCACAGTGGGATGAGAGGTGTGGCTTTCACCACCCCTGCCACTATCTTCCCTGCCACGGAGAGGTGCGAACCTCCCGCAGGGATGTTCCGGGCTACGGCATCTCGCTGACGCCACCTCAGCCCTGTCATCTGCAGCGCGGGCATGGGAAGTTCCCGCGCTTGCGGATGTCCCTGGACAAAGGCTGCGCTCACGAGAGGTGCGGCCCCTGTCCTGTCCAGGGGGCGAGCCTCTGGCCCGCCCCGGTTACCTAGATAACCAGGGAGCAACCTACATCAGCTTAAGAAGCTGATGCCGGGCACCCTGGTCACCTTCACCATTGCGCAGCCCCCGAAGGAGCCCCAGCTGCGGCGGGACCTTCGTGGCAGGACTCTGCAGACCCCCCAGCCAAAGGGGAACTGCACCCAAGCCTTTTTAAGACCCCCAGAGCAGGGGGAGATTGCCTGCTAGCTGTCCAGGACCCCAGTCCAGGGGACGGATTGCCTGCTAGCTGCCAGAGACCCCCAGCACAGGGGAGAGATTGCCTGCCAGCTGCCTGAGAACTCAGCCCAAAAGGGGAGACTACCCGCATGATTAGGACCCCAACAGGTACCTGTGTTCCACTTTCTACCCCTGGGAGACCAGACACCCTGTCAGATCCGTGAGTATATGCTCTCTCCCTGTTTTACTTGAACTGTTCCTGTACTGATCCCCCACCCCCCCCGTCGGTTTACAATTGCTACAGAGACTCTCCCTTGGCTCTCGGTGTTGGACTATGAGTGGGTTGGCCCCTCCTTGCTACCCTTTACTGGCAAATTCACCCTCCCTGCAATGCCCTCTATTGAGTGACTGTCATCTGTCTCAATAAAGCTTTGTGCGTTTGCCATCTACTCTGTGTGTTCTGCCCTGCCTACCCTCCGTCACACAATATCCTTAAGATACTAATTAAAAATATATAAAAAAAAAAATCATGAAAAAGTGAAAAAAAATAAAATAGTGAAAAAAAAAAAAAAATCAATATAATGGGAAATTCATATAAAACAATATAATAGGAAATTCACATACAAAATGTGTCCATAAATATATATAAAGAGTCCTCTTTGAATATTAATTCAAAAGGACCTGCTTCAATGAATGGATCAGTAATACTCTATGCCAGTGGTTCTCAACCTTCCTAATGCCGTGACCCTTTAATACAGTTCCTCATGTTGTGGTGACCCCCAACCATAAAATTATTTACCCAGTAATTATAATTCATGAAGTGTCGTTTTACCTCCAATACTGCTGCTTTCAACACAGTAGCTGCTTTCAACACAGTAGCTGCTTTCTACACAGTAGCTGCTTTCTACACAGTAGCTGCTCTTTACACATCGGAAATATGTGTTTTCCCGATGGTCTTAGGCGACCCCTGTGAAAGGGTCATTCGACCCCCAAAGGGGTCGCGACCCACAGGTTGAGAACCACTGCTCTATGCGCTCACCTCCTTTTTAGCCTAATTGATATTTAGCCTAAAATAGCTTTTTGTTCTATATGAACAGATGAAATGCTCCTGCGCCAGAAATCCTTCTTAGATGATATAGCGTTGTAATATTCTTATATTTCTACCTGGTGTCTCTCCAATGCACTGATCCCTGTATTGGTTATGGATGGATTCCTCCTTCTCACCTCCAGGGGTCTAATTCCTCAGCAACAGTGCTAAACTTTCTACAT